TCAAGAACCTTTAACGTAATTCAGGCAGCTGCCAATAGAGTACCCCTTTTTGGGCATTGATTCGCTTGCATTTTATGTGTGCATTATTGTTATAAATATTCTACTCAGTGGAGTTGCATGAATGTCCTATGAACCGGTAAGAATATCCTCAATGGCCACAAGATTGAGAACCGCTGCACTAGAACTCACCTCACGGGATACAATCTGTGTTTGGAGCATTTGTGAGAACGAAAATAAATACGTAATAAAAACATTGTGGTGCAGTTTTTTTTAAAAAAAAAGGCGTTGTGCAGTAATTGTGAGAAAATCCGGAGCTCAAATCCCGGCTACCACAATACTGCGTTTTAATTACTCAGTTATCTATTTTCATTTGATCAGTATAGTTCAGTCATAATCCCACAAACAAGAAGCCTTTTGTACCGGAGCCGTCCTTCTGGTAAGCTGCTCCAAAATAGCAGTTGTTCAATACTCTCGAGTGAACAATTTATAAATTTTAAAATAATAGTCTCTAAGCAACTGTAGTTTGCTATAGAAGCAGAAATCCGTGGTCTCTCACTCTGGCAAAGCAGAAAAAAGTTTTCCTCCTCGAAAATTTTGTTCGATACTATGCCGGCGGAGTTCCTTGGGGCACATTAAACTAAGATTTGCTGAGAGCAAATCCCCTGCCAGATTATAACAATATGAAAACACTGGTGTCCTTGGCATCACTATGATTAAAATATGGCTAGAAATATCAGGAAGTCCAGAGTTCTACAAATCGCCATGCGTGGCACGAACATGACCGCATAGCTTAGAAGTTACCTTCCTGACGTGAGCTATTGCGCGCAACAGAAGACTAAAGGAAAATAACGGCCTAAAAATACGGTTTATTAAAATGTCTAAAAAGTGCTATGATTACATTGGGATTCTGGGAAGAAAACTGATTCGAATCTCTAGTTAAAAAATATAGGGGCAAATTTGTCAAGTGTTTAGAGCGGATTATAAATTACATCCTCTACGTAGTTTTCTATTACTCGTTCACATCGCTATGTTAATAAAGGTTCTACCTGCTATATATGGCGACAACTTTTTTTAGCAATGCAGGGGAGGGTGCAGGCACGTGTTCCCTCTCTGTTGTTGAGCGCTGGATAAAACTGTGCGCGGGCTCTCCTCCTCTTCTCTGCATGCCAATAAAGGTTGTCGCCGAGTATCGCTAGCACTTTTAATACAGCTACACTCCCTAGCACTGCTACACTTGCTAGTACTCTTGTTTTTGGTATCATTTCTGCACGTATCTGAGGTTTTAATTTAGTATATGCAGGAAAAATGACAGTCCGACCAAGACGAAAAATGACAGTTCCATTTCCAGTAAGAATTCAAACAAGAAAAATCGATTCCTTCATTTATAACAAGGGCTGTTTATCTAAAACAGCGCGAAAGACACGGCCGCGGTGGCCCTGAGCAGTATGACAGCGCGAAACTCAGAGGAGCTGAGCCGCGTCACGCGGCCGCCGAGGAGTACAGACGTGAAGGAAGAACGCCTGTGTCGGGCGCAAACATTCATTCTCGCGAACGGACGTACATTGGCCCAAGTTTTTAATAATATCTAATAATATAATATTAATAAGTAATGAGTAATAATATTATTAAGATTGGGCGCGGAAGCAATACCGACAACATGGTTTACGTGCCGCGCTTCTGCGCTTTGCAGGCATTCTTGGCTCTTGTTTTGCTGTGGTTGCCGCCTCCGACGCAGACCTCAGCAGGCTTCCTGATACCGCTGCCATCATCGCAGGAGTGCATCAACTGCCAGCGCCCTGACAACGTCTTCTTTCTGGAACACCCGACGTTGAGAGGTTAGATTTTTTTAGCAGCAAAGTCATCAACGATGACATCAGTTCTCGAGAGCGACGCCAGCAGTGATATAAACGGCTGGCAGTGGAACCTTCTCTTCAGTAGGCGCTGAAGCGGTACCGACGACAGGGCTTACGTGCCGCGCTTCTGCGCTTTGCAGGTGTGTAACCACTTCTCCCTGCACACTAAAAAAAAAAGACAATCGCTATTTGTTATTGCTTTCGTGCTCACAAGTGCTTTGCGAAAGTGCTTATGATTGCTTTTCGACCGTACTTTTGATACTACGTTCTGGTGATGTTGAGATGAACCCGGGACCTCTTACTCGTTCCGAGGCTCTTTTGGAAGTAGAGTGCTTGCCCGATGAGCCCTCTGAACAAATGGCTGTATTATTCAATATTTCAAAGGATTTTTAAGCGCGGTCGATTCAGTCTGCAAGGAGTCAGATGGATTTGGCGGCTGACGTAAAAGTTATCAAGGCTGGACAGAAAAGCATTGAAACTAAGATCCGATGTATCCAGAAAAGATTAAACGAATAAGAAGAGAAAAGAAAATCGCTCGACCATTTTGGTCAAGATATCACTAGCGTTCAAGACTCCGTAAAAACCTTAACAGCTCAGCATGACTCGTTGCAAGTGCGTCTTGGCGGACTGGAAGACCGGTCGCGACGCGATAATCGTTTTTTTTTTTTTTTTTCGTGGCATTCCTGTCTCACGGGGATCGTGGGAACAATCTGAGACAAAAGTGAAGACGCTCTAGCAGGAGTAATGGACACCTTCCCCGAGAATACAACCGAGCGAGCTCATCGCTTAGGGCCCTATCTGCCGAAGAAGTGTCACCCTATCATAGTTAAAATCCCTGGCTACAAGATAAGAGACAGGATATTTTCCGCGCGTACAAAACTTAAAGAAATAAACGTTGCCGTAAGTGAAGATTTCTCGCCCGCCACACGCTACGCTCGGAAGAAACTTGTCGACTTCGCTAAAAAAATCAACCCGTGGCAGCTAAGAAGATATAACAAGCTTGAATTAAACAAAAAGCAATACGTCTACGCTGCCCAAATTAATCACGTGGTTGAACTTATGCCCAAATCAACATAAGACAACCCATAGCCCAGTTGTTCAACACACACAATGACCCAGCGGTACGCGAGGGGCTGTGGACGTTCCTTATCTCATACATCGATTCTTTTTTGCAATATTCGGACTGTTATGAGCAAGCGCGATTCTTTAACTTCTGCCATCGATACATGCAATGTAGATTTCGTCGTACTGACCGAGACCTGGCTGCATCCGCATTTTCGTTATCATGAAATTCTTCTATCTGTTCGGCATTTCTCGATTTATAGCTGCGACCGCACAACGCCACAAGGTGGTGGTGTTTTGCTGGCATTTCAAAAAAAAAATTCCATTCCAGTGTGTTTTTTTTCCCCGCGACCTTGAGATTGTTTGGGCTGTCGTTGAAATAAGTAATATGAAAATCATTCTTGGTGTTTGTTATCGACTCCGCATGGTTTCTTCCAATTTTGTAGATGGACTTTATGATGTAAATAATATAGTTTCATCTCGATACCCCACGCTTCCTTTATTTCTGCTTGGGGATTTTAACATTCCGAATATATAATGGAACAGTGAACCGCCCAGTATTCACCCCGTCTCCTCTTTAGCCACTGATTTCTTGAACTTGCGCTCTGTATTTTCCTTTACACAGCTTATTAAGCAACCTACAAGGATAACACAATCTGTCGCGAACACCTTTGATCTTGTTTTGACATCCTAGCCTGATCTTGTCTCCGAGATTAGTTACTTGCCTGGCTTAAGCGATCACTGTTTGCTCACTTTCCAGACTTGCTTGTCGCGACCAAAGAACCTTAAGCAATTAATTATGAAGTGTCTATTTTTCTTGATAATTTTCTGTATGGTTTTGATAATCGCACTGTAAAAAATAATTGTGAAATTTTTTGGCTAAAGTGCACTCTAAGAAAAAAGTTGGCCTCAAGGGACTAACGGCAGCATTTGGTCCTCTGAACTTCCAGTTGCTCCCCGTAAGGACCATCTGGTTCAAGCTAGGTACCGCGCGCAAAAGCTGGGGACTAACAGCGCTCGACTGGAACTAACCGATAGGCCTGCGCGAGCAAAAGCATCCATTAGTCCCCCTCAGACAGGGTGCATCTGTAGGATTTAGTCCCCGAAGGCAAACGGAATGTTCGCCAGGAGGACGGATCATATTTCGCTCGTCTTGGGGATCGGCGAGACTCTGCCCAGCACGGCTGAAAGTGATGACAAAACTCGGACGAAACTAGCGAATTTGTTTAATGTGCCACGAACGTTCAGACATTACATGGTAGAGCTTCGCGCGTAGTTCGAATGCGAGTTAACGAAAGTGTTGACTCTACTTCACCCAACCATCTCGTCAAAAATAATCTCTTGACATTTCACAAGTCCCATTCACTTAACTTGCCTTCGCGCAAAAAAAAAAATGAGCATTAATCCAAACGCAACACCTCCGAATACTAGCACTTTTTTTTTTCTTAAATGAAACTTAAGAGTTCGTAGAAGACGCGCTTTCAACACCGGAGTCTCGCAGTCAGAATAAATGGTCACTTCACTCGCTAAAACTGAGTTACTAAGAACAGGTCGGGCCTCGTCTCTGCGTCTCCCCGTAACTAACCTTTCTTGGTAGTCCAATGTTGAACTCAAAATCCTCACTGACACACTTGATGTACGGCACGTTCCACTTAAACAGCACATTTAGGGGCAGTATCCAGACGCCTTCATGCCATCGTCGTCGATGTTTCACATAACATTCCAGATGAACAACGGAGAACGAACCGCGCCCGGACGTCATTCATGACAACACCCTGCTAATACAAAACAAATGCGAAAAAAAAAGGCCCCCGAGAAAATTGAAGAGAGAGAGAGAGGGAGAGAAAACAAAAAAAAAAGAAAAGCGTGCTTGCTTGTACGTCACTTGACCGGCGTGTTGAAAATGGCGAACATAATCCCTGGAGAAGGCGAACCTTCGACCTTCTCCCGTCCTTCGGGCATTGGTGTCGTGTCACGTGTGTCGTGTGTAGTGAAAGGGGGAAGAGAGATTTTCGGGGAAAAGAGATTTCCCTTCCCCTTCCCAGCAACCCCCTCCCCCGCATTCCTCGCTCCCGCAGGGGGCAGGGCAGATGGGCCAGAGAGGGTCCGTCGGGCAAATGGGAAGGGGTCTTTGTTTGAAAAGAACCTGTTTTAGTATAGCCTTCGTCAGGACTTAGAAGCTGGTCGTCTCCGATCATTGTGAAATCCGGTTTGGAATCGCGGTGCTGCAACGCTGCACTTGATCTGTTCTGAAGTCCCAAGACAAGGGAACTCGATTAAGGTATGTCAAAGTACTTCTGTTTATGGTATATTCACTAACTGCGCCGTCAGAAAGTGTTTTAGTTTGAGCGCGGTCTCTAGCTTCCAAAGCACGCGCCATGCTCTATTCTTTTTGGCACTATGGTTGCTTATTTTGTTACGCAGCACAGAGACCTGATATTCAATCGTATCGAGCAAAACTCCAGTTCTACCGATCGCTTATTTTTTGTGTTTTGCAGACCCTGGCAGGATCGTTTTACCATAAAGGCCTCTTTACATATGCAGCTGAGAGCTACAAGCATAGCGCTGACCTAGCGCTAAACGCGTGCTGACGGGAGCTTTCACCAGCTGTGCATCACACCGTCAAAACTGTTGCTCATGGCAGACGAAAAGCAGCTCACGACACGTGAGCAGCTCTACTTCAGCGCTTCGCTGCGTGTGAGAACCGGCCTTAATGGAGACATTCATTCGGTTGTACAGACTTTCGCGTTGATGGCGGGAGCTCGTTCCGTCACTTTGAAGCATAGTTTGGGCACGCACACGCTGGGTCTGTAATTCGCAGCGAACGGTCTACTAAAAATATAATATTGCGCTGGTCTGCTGTCAACAGATCGCATGTTAGATGTGAACCATTGTAGCACTTTTGTAGCCTATTTGTTATTTTAATATGTGTGTGTTATATCTCATACTTTTGCTGAGCGATCGGGTATTTCATGCTGCCCCTGTTGCTAATAATCCAAATTCCTCGCAAACAGGCAAGAAGCTGCAGGTGCCCCAATAAACGGTGCTTGGACCACGACCGGTTTGAACAGCCGTCCCAGTGTTCAAGCCATCGTCGACGCAAGTGCACTCTTCGGAATCTGGCCTTATCGTGGAGTCTACCGCTCAGGAATTTTGACTTTAGTCATCCTTGATTGCGATGTGTATTTACGAGGCAATAAAGCTACGTTTAACCTGGACTGGACGATTTCGTTTTGGTGATTTGTGGCTGGGGACCAAATGCAAAGGTTGAACCTTTAGTCCCAGGGGTCTAAATCCAACGGCGCAACGTTTAGACCCAGGGGTTCAAGTGCAAGGGCCTAACGGTTGGTCCTCGGGGTTCATTTGAAACGGTGTAACAGTTAGTCCTTGGGGTCGAAGTGCAAGGGCCTAACAGTTCGTCCTCGGGGTTCAATTAAAACGGTGTAACAATTGGTCCCAGGAGACCTAGTGCAAGGGCCTAACAGTTGGTCTTCGAGGTACAATTGGAACGGTGTAACAGTTAGTCCTAACGGTGCTAGTGCGAAAGACTAATAAGAGGGGCGCAACTGTTACTCCCCTTACCGTTAGTCCCCGAGGGGACTAATGGTTGTGGCAACGCACTTGCTCCCTTCGGGGACTAAGTCGCGCTCCCTTTTTTCTTAGAGTGTGAGTGATTTAACTAATACATTCATTCCCACTTTCATCATCATATTTAATATTGATGCTCCGTGGTATAGCCGTAACCTCAAACGTTTATCAAACAAAAAAAGCGCTTATAGAGATCAGCTATACTATCTGGTCATGATGCCCGCTGGGCTGCTTACAAACATGCCTCCGACGAATATATAGCTGCACTAAACAATGCTAAGGAAGAATTTCATCAAAGCACTTTGCCATAAATGTTAATAAACGACATTAGAAACTTTCGGCGTGTTATACAACCAAAAGATGGGCACAAGATAACTTTAGTTTGCAGCACTGGAAACGGAATTCTTTCTAGTCAGTGTGCATTGGTGCTGAATGAAGTGTTTTCATGCAACTTTTCTATAACTTCAGGTGTCCCCATACCCGATACTCATGGCTTTGACTTTCTCGTCATGTCTCTTATACTCATTGAACCTGCTAGTGTAGAGAGCCTCATTAGATTACTTAAAACTTCTTCGCCTCCTGGATACGATTCAATTTATTCCAAGTTTCTGAAAAGTGCAAGTGTATATTCATCTATTATACTTTCTAAGTTTTTTCAGCATTCGCTCGACAACGGTTATCGTCCTGGAGAATGGAAGGTCGGGAAGGTGATTCCACTCCATAAATCAGGTAGCAAGTCTAGCAACAAACCAGCATTCCTTGTAAACTTCTTGAGCACATTCTGTTTTCGCATCTCGTTACATTCCTTGAATCAAAGTGATTTGTCATACCTTCACAGCATAGCTTCCGCAAAACTTACTCCTGTGAAACTCAATTGGTATCATTTACGCATAAACTAAACCTCATTCTTGACCATTCCCCATTTGCCGATCGCATTTTTTATACTTCTCTAAAGCATTTGACAAGGTACGCCCAAACGTTTACTATATAAACTACACCCACTTAACCTTGATCACAAACTTCTCGCATGGATTGAATGTTTTCTTCTTAACCGTTCACAGTTTGTTTCAGCTAACAACTCTAACTCGCAGCCAACTGGTGTTCACTCCTGTGTGCCACAGGGTTCTGTTCTTAGTCCTCTCCTTTTCCTTATCTACATAAACGATCTACCTTCTTGTTTGTCTTCGAACATTCTCATGTTTGCCGATGAGTGTGTCGTTTTTCGTGAAATAACTTGTGATGACGATATAACTAACCTTCATTCGGACCTTAATGCCATCTCTGAATGGTGCAAAGCATGGTACACGGACCTGAACGTTAATAAATTCAAATATATGCGCGTATCTAGAAAAGCAAATAATTTTCCAACCTACGTTTGAAATCACTGTCCCCTTGAAGCGTCACTTCATACAAATACCTTGGTATTTACATTACAGCCGATCTCACCTGGACCGCTCACATTTCGTATGTCGCTAACAACGCTAACAGAATGCTTCGGCACATGCGACGTAGCTTCTCATAGGCTTCTTCGTCCATAAAACTTTTGTTATATAAAACACTAATCCGTTCAAAACTTGAATATGCTTCATCTCTGTGGGATCCTCACCAAGAAAACTCAGTAGGTTCACTTGAAATGTTTCAAAATAATTCAGTTCGTTTTATCGTATCTAACTAAAAGAGAACTGCCAGCATAAGCTCAATGAAATCTAGCCTCAACCTACCAACTCTAGCATCTCGTCGTAAATTATTTCGACTATGTCTATTTCGAAGCTTTTTTATCACCCATATCGGCGTCACAATTTTATTGTACGTCCCCCGTATATCTCATCCAGGTTGGATCATGCTTTTAAGGTTGGAATTCCACTCTGCAAAACTGACGCTTTTTTTAGTCCTTTTTCCAAAGCACATCAGATGACTGGAATCGCCTTCCCGCACCTACGGCAGCCATCGAAGACCACAATCTTTTCAAGAACGCCTTAGCTATCATAGTATGATTAGGAGCCTCTTATTTGTCTATACTAATAACTGCAGAATGTTGTTCTATCTTATGAAATGTAATCCCCTCCCCTCTATAATGCCTCAGGCCTTGAGGGTTAATAAATAAATAAATAAATAAATAAATATCAAGCGAGCGTCGACCGACGTGAAGTCGTTTGATACTTCTCTTTTACATGTCACGACCATTAACACAAATGACAAAGTACATTTCTCTGGAACAAAATGGCACCATTCAGTTCAAACCTCTGCTGTGCGCTGCCATTCGCTTCCTAAAACCTGCATCGTCACTCAGTCGGCGCTTCAAAGAATGTCGCTACTTGTAGGAAGCTCTTATCTAGGGACTTTTGACCAACGGGCCGTCCAGCGCCGTGCCGCGGAGGCGTGCGGCGATACGGGGGAGAGTAGGCCCGTGCGCACAAAGCTCTTTCCTGTGCGAGCTTCGCCTGATAGCCTTTTCCGTTGACAGCACAGAGCCACTGGTCCCTAGCAAAGGAGCGCAGGGGGCTGATTGACATCATGTGTCTTTCTTTCTCTCTCTTTCCCTCTTGCCGCTTCTTTTATCTGTTGGTAGAAGTAACGTCTGAAGAGTGCGCGCTGGAGTGGTATACTCGTCTTGCACGGCATAAAAAGTGGCGCAATGACGCGCGGTTTAGGCTACACCTGAGCAGTATCACGAAGCAAGCGCTGTCCAGATATTTGCTTACTCAATGGCGGTTAGCTCTGCCAGCAGATAAGGAGCAGGGGTTGTGTGCGGACAACGGAATATTTTGGCAGACGACGCTCGCACCGGAAAGAGCTTTGTGCGCACGCATCTAATCTCCCATTTCGCCGGACGACTCCGCGGCACGGCGCTAGCCGGTCCGGCGGTCGACGTTCGCTCGATATTATTAAAAAATTGGGCCACTGTACATCACGGCCCTGGTGTTTGAGCTGACTTGCTGAAGACGGCGCCCGCGGGACAGGAGCCTGAAGGGCGGTACACACACTTGCGTGGAGTCCGACCTAGCGCAACTGCAACGGCTTGCGACGTGCGGGTTGCTATGGCAATAGCTGCGTCGGCTCCAACAAAACGTGTTTTTGCCCCCTTTTGTTGGAGACGACGCAGCTGCAGCCATAGAAACCCGTCTGTTGCAGTCGAACTTGGTCGGACTCAAACAAATATGAACCAAACTTTACAAAAACCGGAGCGATCCTTTGCTCGGCGGCACAATGATGGCTCAACGGTGCTACCTCGCTTTCCATTCCTTCCTATCTCTCTCTTTTTTTTTTTTTTTTTTTTGGGGGGGGGGGGGGCGGGGGAGGGGGAGAATGTGATTAGTTCGTGTTTCACCCTTGCCACGCCCGCCGCCGGTCGGGGCAAAAGATTTCCTACCGTCAGCTGCATCCTATAGTCCGTCTTACCTCACGCCGATGGACCACCATGGATGCTACGAGTCATACAAATAAATTCAAAGTAGTGTGAGTGTAACGTGAGCTTTTAGCGGTATTCAGTGAGTCATTGTCACTTGATACGCTGCATTGGCTCAGACAGCTCGTAAAGGCCGCTACAATTGATCGTAATTAAGAAACAGAGTACAGTAGGCTCATTCGATTTCCTTGCACCTCCTACACAGGTGCAAAAAAGTGGAGGGCAGTGTACTTCCGGTACGTGTACTGATGTACGACCGGAAGTGCACCACCCTACACTTTGCTGCACCGATGCAGGAGTTGCAAGTAAATCAAACGAGCCTAGTGATGTATAGATAAATGAATCGAATCATTTTGTCAACAAGCTACACACATTTAAATGCTACCCTGAGAAAGTAGCGCAGTGCAGCGCAATGAACCAACCACAACAACCTACGGATCGAATGCGCCGCGAGGTGCAGTTTTTATGAGCAATATTTTCCACATCGCTAAAACAGAAACTCGTTTTTTGTTTTGTTTTTGTTTTGCATATTGCTCTATGCTGTGTGGGAGACAATGCAACCAAGTACAGTCACTGTGGATGCGGTGCTCAAGTACCACTAGCCGTTGAGATAAAACCCTCAAACGGTAACTGGCTGTAACGCAAACCTGGCTAAATGTTTTTCTTTTTGCTTCAAACAATATTATGCAAGGTGTTGTTTCGCGTTTTTTTTAGATCCCATTTCTTTAAGTATTTGTCAAGGAAAATTTAAGAAAAAATACAAGGTGATTTGTTTTGTTCTTTTCTAAATGAGAACAAAACTGCATTTTTTGGCTTCGTCTATATCTAAAAAATACCGGCCGCAATAAAACAAAATACCTAGTTCTTTTCTTTCGATGTGAACAAAGCATGAAATATATTATAGTCTAAACCCCGACACAAGGATAAATAAAATACCGGACACATATTGTCCGTCATTTTATCTCCCCTTATTCCAAGGTTTAGAGTATTATGTTTCATAACCAGCTTGGTTGTATACCTTCGCTCAATAAAATACTTTGTAGAAAACGCTTCAGGTGAAAAACTTAATTCTAATATATGTTAAAAATCGTCAAGAAAATTTTAAATGTGAAAAAGTAGTGCAAGATGCCAAGATAGTCATATTATAACACTTCAAATATCGAATAAAACACCATAATAAACTTAACTAATTTAAGTAGACTAATTGGCGTGCTTTATACCC